ATGGCATTAGTTTGCATTGCGCTGCATGCCATCGAGCTTGCCAAGGACCACGCCATGGATGAGCTAAACAAGTTGCACGACGATTTGAATGAGCTGTCCGAGGAGCAGGCCATGCGGCGGCGACAGCGCAATCATCGTTTACTCACTCGCTTGGCTCCGGGCCGCAACTGCTCTAATTTCGCACTCGCTCACCGCCTTGGGCACGTTTGCACTGATCCAGAACACATTGCCGGTGTACTCTGTGAGCACTGGTCGGAGGTCTTCAAACGGAAGGACACTGACAGCGAGTTGCGGAACCGTTGGTTGGCGGAAGAGGCCCGCCACGGGGACCCGGATATGTTGCGCCACGTGCCTCAGGCTGACGTCCCATTCGAGATGTTCGAAAAGGCCATCCGCCTCACTTCAAATAACTCCCCTGGACCAGACGGCATCCTGTTCAAGGCGTGGCGCAAATTGGGCCGTTTCGCGGCCGTCGCGCTCTACGACGCTTTCGTCACCATCTCAGGCCCTGACGGCCAGCGCATATTGGAGGAGGACTGGGACAGCTTCAACGAGAGCAGCATGGTGTTTCTCGCGAAAAAGGCTTCGGGTCGCACAGAAGACGGCTCGGACATCTTTACCCCAAACAACATGTGCCCCCTGAACATCACAAACACGGACAACAGGATCATTTGTAGCGCCATTCGGTTGCACATTGAACTTGCGATTGCACCTGGGGTGTCCATGGCCCAACGCGGGTTCATCAAGGGCAGATCGATGTTGTCTAATATCGTGGACATCGAAGAAGCGATGTTGAGCAGTTCCCTTACGCAGTCCTCCCCGGCGGCGGTGTTCTTCGACTTCGAAGCCGCCTTCCCCAGCGTCAGCCAGGAGTTCTTGCTGGAAGTGCTTGCGGCCCGCGGCTGGCCCCCGTGGCGCGCGCGATTTTTCAGGGCTCTTTATTGGCAGAACCGGTGCGACATAGTGGCCCAGGGGTCCTCCGCCTTCCCGGGCTTCACGCTCACGGCAGGTGTTCGGCAGGGCTGCCCCCTTTCCCCGCTACTCTTCGCTGTTTTGTCCGATGTCTTCTTGCGTCGCCTTCAACGCTTACTTCCTGATGTCGTCCCGCGCGCCTACGCCGACGACCTCGCCGTCGTTTTGTCTCGCGGGGTTGGGGACGCGCCGGTCTTGGAGCTGATGTTCGAGGAATACGAGCGCATCTCCGGCCTCCGGCTCCACCATGGGAAAACCGTGTGGCTGCCGCTCACGGTCGACCCGGAGGACATGATCAGGGCGCAGCTGCAGGCCCGGGCTCCGACGTGGAGCGACTTTACCATATGCCGCTGCGCATCCTACCTGGGCTTTGTAGTTGGGCCGGAACGGGCGGAGTGGTCTTGGCCAAAACCGTTGGAAAAGTTTGTTGCCCGTGCCCGTCTCTGGAGGACTGTCGGTTGCGGTTTCTTCATGAGTTTATTAGCTTATCGCATCTACGTGCTCCCCGTTGTCACGTTCCTCTTGCAACTCGACAGCCTGCCGTCAATTTGGGACGCATATGAGAAGCGTGTTTGTACTTTGCTATTCCCTGGTCCCCGTGACTGGGCGCCTCCAGACGTGCTACTAACTTTGCAGTGCATTGGCTTTGCGTCGGAGCTGACGGACGCCCGCAGCACTTCCACGGCAGCCAAATGCAGAGTGCACCGCTGGGAGAACCACGCGCACGGACGGCTCTCCATCCAGCGTCGGGAGCGGCATCTGTGCAGGCTCGCCCAGGACTCCCCGCGCATCCTCCGCAAATCGACGTGGAGCACATGGTACGACTTGAACTTCTTGACCAACCTCCAGGCCGCCAACGACAACCTGGACATGAAAGCGCGCATCGCCGGCGTGACGGTAGCCGAATTGCTCCAGGGGGGCGCTCCTGAGCCGACGCCTCCCCAACGCTGGCAAAAACAGTGCAAACTCATTTTCCGTGCTCCACAGCCGGAGAGCGTTCATCGACACCTGCGCCGTTGCCTGGACCTGCGCTCGCTACATATTCTCCCTGGGCGTCGCGTGGAACGAGCGATTGCCATGCTGCGCGGGCTGGCGCGTTTAGTGCCACCTCGCATTTGGGCATGCGTTTTTCGAGCGCTCTGCAATGGGTGGACGGCAGCCCGACGCATGCAGCGCTGTGCGCCTTGCGTTTTCGGCTGCGGTGCTGGCGAGGACAGTCTCGAGCACTATAGTTGTTGTGGCCGGGTCGCTGCGTTCGGCAGGCGCCGCCTCGGCTTGACCGAGCCGCCGCCCTCGGAGCGCCTCTCTTTGTTCCTCCTCCTCTCCCCGGCACTTTCCGAAAATACTTCTCACGAGTTTGCGCGACGAGCGCTTGCAGCCAATGCCGCGCGCCACGGTTTGACAACTGACGCCAATGAAGCTATGTCGCAGTTTGCGCGCGAGGCTTGCGCGGCACATGCTGGTCGTGCAACTGTAGCGACATCTATTTGGCAAAGCTGGCCCCCCTCCTCTCCTTCCGGCCCCTCCGTGGTCGTCGGTCGTCTCTCTCCCGGCCCGTTCGGTTCCTTCCTCCCTGGCTCCACTCGGCCATGGCCGGTCAACCGAAAGGGTTGCAGGCGGGACGCTATGGAATTCCGTCGTTTCATTTTCTTCGTGATAATACCGCACGTCTGTGCATGGACGCCGTCTGGGCCCGCGGATTCTGAGCCTTTGTCATGCGGAGCATGACGTGGTGGCTACATTATGTAGTGCAGAGCTTGACTGCCATATCATATGTACATCGACTAGTCTCGCGAGGGCTTTGGTGCGAGTGCCGTCCACGGTGGCTGGTCTACGCACGCGCGGGTTTCGTTTAATCCCCTTGTCTCCTTTCTTGTCCCCTTTGCTCCGCTCCTTTCCCCTCGTGCCCCGCCCCGCCCCGCTTAATGAATCCTCTGGCCTGCGACTGGTGCAGGGGGGAAATTCGTTGCTTCTCTTTGAACTCGGCTTTAGGTGTGTGGCGGCATCCGCGTTGTGAAGCCTGCTCTGGTGGCTTGCGGCCCGCCCCAGCTGAATGTCGGACTTTAAGTTTTCGTGTTAGAGCACGATGCTCAGGGTCAGGTATATAGAATCCGGCAGCTCAGGGTTGTGCTCGATAGGAGTTGGATTCCTGACCGAAGTGTTTTAGGAATTCCAGTGGTGAATCTCTGTCGCCTCGGGGGGGAATCTGACCGTAGCCCGTTTGGGGTGACGTTAACCCGGCCGGCGTTTTTTTAGATTTGGCTTATTTCGAGTTCGAGCCTTCATCCAATCGGTGCGGTGAAGAAAAAATCGCAATGCATCGCATGTGTTGCATGTTGTTGCATGGCGTTGCATGGTTTTGCATCGCCTTGCTCTGTATTGCTTTGCATTGCTTTACACACGTTTGCCTAACATGGCGTTGCGCTGCGTTGCTTTACATGGCTTTGTATTGTTCCCCCTTGCTTTTCAATGCGTTGCATTGCTGTGCGTTCGTGTACGATGCATTGCCTTAGTTTGCCTTGGTTGGGGAAGTAGCAGGAGGGTGAGGGGGAGGAGACTGAGAGAGATGAGGTAGAGGGGTCGGAGGAGGAGGAGGAGAAGAGGACACTTGAAGAAGAGGAGGAAGGAGGGAAGGATGCTGTGGATGATGATTTTGATGCTGATGCTGATGAGCAGGAGGGGAAGAGGAGTAAGGAAAGTCATCACAATGATGAGGAGAAGGACCGCCACCGTCGGATTGGCCGCGCAAGATCTGGCTTTTTCCAGGCTATCGTCGCCAGGTCGCGAGCTGACAACCAGGGTACATGTCCAACAGGGCTACGGGCGTAAGATGTCGGACGGGGGTCCCCGCTCGAACGGGCACTCTCCCAGGCTCCAGCAGCTAGCACCCGTTACAAATCTCGTTCGTTGTCCAAAGGCGAAACACGGCGCGAGTCTGGCCCCGCATAGACTGAGGGGCCAGTTCTTCGGTCATCACCAGTGGTGTGGAGGGACTACGTGAGCTCGTTTGCCCAGCGTACGGCCAACACGGTGAAAGAAGAACCACTTTGGGTCAAGGAGCGGCGTTGACTTCCCCGCCGCTCCTTAGATCCATGTCGGGGGCTCTGGTCGTTCCCGAGGCTCGCCGTGGCCAGAAGAGACCCCTCGCCCCTTACCTGGCAAGCCCAGTGGTAGCGCGATGACGATACCTTGAGCCCACCAACCTCAGCGACAGGAGACAGACTCGGCGGGTCGTCTGGTGGGGGCAAGGAGGGGCGTGCGGAGGAGGAGGAGGAGGAGCACCATATTAAACTGCAGATGCACCAGCGATGCTGCGATACGCCTTCTCGTGCCAAGTCCCCTCCTGTCTTTTTTTTTCACTACAAGAAGTGCCCCCCTTGAAAGACCAGCTCCGTCGGACCTGACATGTTGGCGAGGGCCCCACTTCAAACCGGACATGCCTTGCATCTTTCTGGCGCGCAGTCGGATACCCGAAGCAAGCAATGATCGTACAGTTCAGCGAGGTGTCCAGCTGCACCCCCCGTTCGGAGAAGGATCGCCCCCCCATTCCATCTAAGTGCTGCGCAAGTTCACACGTGCGGCCATGGACTCGGGGGAACTCCCAAGGGACAGCTCCACTCTGCAAAAGGTTAGCCGTGGATCCGTGCAGCGCCCCGTGCGTTGAAGTCCTGGGCCCTTCTACTCAACGAAGCTTGCGGCGATAATTTCATGCTGATAAGCGGCAGCCCTACTTCCTGCAAAACGTTGCATAATTCATATTTGTATATATACGTATATATATACATAAACAAATAAATACATAAAATGACAAAACACATACACACACACAAACACACAAATTCAAACAAAAAAGCACCCAATAAAAAAACGAACGAACGGACGCGGGCGGAATAAAAAAAACGAACGAACGAACGGACGCGACGAATGTGCACGGCGTTCAGACAAGCACCACATTGAGAAGGACAAACCCTCAATCCGTAGAAGTGTTGCAAAAGTTTAAGACGAATGTGCGCGTCGCTAAGGTTAGCGCCACAGTTCGAAAACGACCATCGCCTTTTCGAAAAACAACTGCAAATTTGGAGACGAGTATGCGCGACGCTGGCGCAAAAGCCACAGTTTGAAAACGCCCCCCCTCCATCCGCGAAGTTGTTGCAAACGTTCGGGGCGAATGTGCGCAGCGCTGAGGCGAGAGCCACCTTTTGAAAACGACCCCCCTCCACCCGTGAAGTTGTTCACGAGTGTGCACGGCGTTCTGGCGAGAGCCAAATTTGAAAATTGCACCTCTCTCATCCGTTTGATTGTTGCATGGGTTTGAGAAGAAAGTGCGCGACGTTGCGGCGAGAACCACATTTTGAAAGGGCACCGCGGTCGACCCGTGAAACAGATGCAATTGTTTCAGGCGGATGTGCATAGTGTTCAGGCGAGAGCCACATGTTGAAAACGACCTTCCCCTCTCCATCCAAGAACTTGTTGCCAACTTTCGAGGTCATTGTGCGCAGCGCTGAAGTGAGAGCCACAGTTCGAAAACGATTGTTTCTCATCCGTGGGACTGCTGCAATCGTGTAAGACGAGTGTGCGCGGCGCTGAGGCGAGAGCCACAGTTTGAAAACGACCCCTCCTCCATCCGCGAAGTTGGCGCGATCGTTTGAAACAAATGGGCGCGGCGCCGAAGCGGGAACCACATTTCGAAAACGATCTCCCTCCATCCGTGAAGTGGTTGCAAATATTTAGGACGAATGCGCACGTTGCTCAGGCGCGAGCCGCAGTTTGAAACGAGCCCACTCCATCCCCGAAGCAGTTGCGAACGTTTGGGTCCAACGGGTGCGACGCCAAGGCGAGAGCCACATTTCGAAAACGACCTCCTTCAATATGTGACGTGGCTGCAAACGTTTAAGACGAAGGTTCACAGCGTTCAGATGAGAGCCACATTTTAAAAACAACCCCCCCCCCCCCTCCATCCGCAAAGCTGTTGCGAACTATTGAGGTGAATGCGCGCGGCGCCACAATGAGAGCCACATTTCGAAAATGACCCTCCTCCATTCGTGAATCGCTGCAAACGGTTAAGACGAATGTGCGCGGAGCTGAGGCGAGAGCCACATTTTGAAAACGACCCCCCTTCATCCGCAAAGCTGGTGCGACCTTTTGAGAGAAATATGCGCGGCGCCATTGCGATATCCACATTTGATTAACGACCTCCCTGCATCCGTGAAATCGTTGCAAACATCTAGGACGAATGTGCACGGCGCTCAGGTGCGAGCCACAATTTGAACACGAGCCCCCCTCCATCGACGAAGGTGTTTCGAACTGTTGAGACGAATGTGCGCGGCGCTAAGGCGAGAGCCGCATTTCGAAAATGACCTCCCTCCATCCGTGCAGGGGTTGTAAGCGTTGACGAATGTGCGCGACGTTCAAACGCGAACCTGTACCCGCGAAGATGTTGCAAGTCTCAAGCTGCAGGATCATATGTGGTCAGGAAGTCTCAGGCGGAACGCCTGGCCCGCCCTGTCGGCACGTCTGGTGGTGCGACATGGAAGAACTATTCGTAAGGGAACGGAAGGAGAAGGAGGAGGAGGAGGAGGAGGAGGAGGAGGAGGAGGAGGGGGTTGGAGGAAAAGGAGAAGGGGGCCGGGAAGTGGAGGAGAAGGAGAAGGAGGAGGGGGGAGGAGGGAGGACAGAAAAGGAGGAGGAGGAGGAGGGAGGGACGAGGGCTCCAGTTACCAGTTGACAGGCAGTCCGCATCACCGAGTCACCGAATAGGGAGAGACGAAAAAGGATGGGGATGAAAAGGGGAGGGCTTTGCTCGACAGCGCATCCGCGGCCTGCGTTCGCGCTCGCGCCCCGCTCGAACCCGGGCGGCCTATCAGCTGCCGAGCGGCCACAGCCCCTGGGCGGTGCTGTGAGGCAGGGCAGGGTGGCGGCGCAACAAAGAGCCGCCTCGAGCGCCCTGCTGCTCCTCCTCCTCCTCCCCTCCTCCTCCTCCTCCTCCTCCTCTCCTCTTCCTCATCCTCCTCCTCCTCCTCCTCCTCTCCTCCTCCTCCTCTTCCTCCTCCTCCTCCTCCTCCTCCTCCTCCTCCTCCTCCTCCTCCTCCCCTCCCCCTCCCCTCCCCCTTCTTCCACTCCCTGCCCTCCTCATCATCATCCTCAGCATCAGCATCAGCATTATCATCAGCATCATCGTCATCAGCAGCAGCAGCAGCATCATCCCTCCTCCCTCCTCCTGATCGTCCCTCCTCCTCCTCATCTTCCTCCTCTTCATCCTCCTCTTCATCCTCCTCCTCGTCCTCCTCCCCATCCTCATCCTCATCCTCACTTTCCTCCTCATCTTCCTCTTTCTCCTCCTCCTCCTCCTCCTCCTCCTCCTCCGCCTCGTCCTCCTCCTCCTCGTCCTCATCCTCATCCTCTTCCTCCTCCTCCAGGGCTGCCCATCGCGGCAGGCAAGGAGAGGAGAAACTGGCTTAATTCTTCAGCACCAGTTGCTTGGCAATTTGCCTTGCTGCATGTGACATTTCTGCGCCCGTTGCACTGGAGATGGATCCAGGCGCGGGGATTGCGCATGTCGCTGAGAAGTGGGACCATGAGGTCCATCAATCCCATGGGGCCTCGTGTGCACTCACCCTGGGGAACCAACACCGTTGCACATGTCACTTGATTTGACAGGGTTTACTGTGGTTGCCCGGCCGAGGAACTTGTAATAATGGTGAAGGCTCAGGGGCCCAGCCACCCTACGCACCACGCCGTCTCGGGTGAGCAGGTCACGGGCGACGAGGTATCCTCCCTGTTCCTTGTCTGCGTCTTGGGAAGAAGTATTCGTCTTGTAGTGCCTCCAGTGCCTCCTCCTCCTCCTCGTCCTCTTCTTCCTCCATCTCATCATCTTCATCATATTCCTTCTCCTCCTCCTCCTGTTTCTCCTTCTCCTGTTCCTCTCCCTGCTCCTTCCTCCTAATCGTCAACCTCACTTCATCTACCCCTTCCGCCTCCCCACCCTCCTCCTCGTCCGTTTCCTCCTCCTCCTCCTCCTCATTCCCCTCCTCTTCCTCCTCCTCTTCCTTCTCCTCCTCTTCCTCCTTCTTTTCCTCCTCCTTATTTGTCCTCCTCCTCCTCATCCCCCTCCTCGTCCCCCGCCTGCTCCTCCTTAAACAGTTGGGCTCGAGATGTTGCAAGAGCAAATTCTCCCAGGGCCCACTGTCGCGTGCGTGCTGTGCGTCCTCCTCCTCCTATTCACCAGCAGGACGCGAGGTGTGCCCGCGACTTGAGGGCCGCGCAGCATCCCGAGCACGCGCCAGTTCCAGGACGATGAAATTCGGCCAAGAGCGGGGTATGTCTGGTTTGCCCTATCTGCGACAGTGGTACAGGCTGTGCATACATATATACACACATATATATACATATATGTGTGTATACAAATTGGTGTGAACTTATATATACATATACATATATATATATGTATATATATATATCGCGATCACAACAACGAGAAGCGCTGCACGCAGTGTGGATTGGCATGGCGCACAATTGCAAGCAAAGGCAGTAGACCTGGCCGCGCGGCACCGGGCGATTGTAAACTCGACAAGCAGCCCGAAGTTTTCCTCACGGCGCTGGCAGATCAGCACGCGAAGGCCAAGCAGGACGGAGACGTGGCTAAAATTGCGCAGTTGGGACTGGCATGCCCGCAGCTGGCAGCCCCAGCACCGCAGCCTCCACCAACACTTACTCAATGCGAAGCTCTGGAGACGGCAGTTCAGGAGTTACGGGAAGTGCAGACAGTTGGCGACAAGCTCAGGAAGCGTCGCCCCGACGTAACGCGGTAGGGCAGAAGCAGATCTTTGACAAGTTGGCAGCGACGGTGGAGGCGGATGAGCATGCACCACACGACGTTCGGCGGCGACACGCACCACGCCAGAAGCTGAGAACCCAGAACCTCAGCCAGACGAGGACTTCCCAGAAATTGACCCAGACGTGCTCGAGCTGATCAACAAAAATGAGAACGAGCAGGACCGGAAAGCCATGTCAACGGGCGAAGCATATCCTGGAAGTGGCCAAAGAAACTACCACGCAGGCGCAGAGGAAGCAGTCGCAAGAAAGGCTCAGCGGTATCGACGCGAAGGCGACGGCAAAGAAGCGCAGGGCCCAACCTGGTGAACCAGTTCCAGCGGCAACGGATTGCGAAGCGAGGCCGGTACATCAATACCTTGGCAAGCTTGCCCGTGGAGGTTACGAATTCACCAGTGAGGAGCACGTCAAGAAGTATATGGAGGAGACTAAGCGCATCCGAAAAAAAAGGGGCGCGCGGCATGCCGGGGGGGTAGCGAAGTACGGCTCCAGGATCCAGAGTGCGAAATTTGCACGTCATAAAGGTGACAAATCGGCAGGAGGCACGTGGAAGCACGGCAGTCTATTCGCGGCGGGCAACACGCAGCACAACACGCCAGCCCGCCAGTTCATATGAGCTCCAAGCGCGACGTCGCTGGCCCTGCCGGGCGCAGCATTAACAAAGCGAAGGCAGCAGAGGAGACGCAGAGGCTTCAACTACGCAGCCGAGGGCCCCAGCATACAAAAACAGCGGCGAGCACCAGAACAGGGAGATTGAGCATTGGCACGCATGTTAGGGGGTGCTGGCTTCGTCGATCGCACCTTCAGACTGCCATTCACTTGCCGACGGTTCGAAGGGCCAGTATCTCGGCAGTCGAACTCATTCATACTTCGGCGGCGCCTTGGGATCTCATAGGGGAAGTGAGTATCATGCGGTTCGCCATCCACCTGTCCAGCGGCCCGGACAGGGGGGGCCAATGCGGCCTAGATGAGGAAGACGGTCCAACTTGTCAAGTGCACGTCGACCCCATGGGCAGCGATCGACGATTGCAGCGCCACCCCAAACGAGTGCATGCAGCCACCGTGGGCAGCCAAGCTGCATGCGCAACCAGTTGCCCCAGCAGGTGCGATGGCAATCTGTTCCGGCGGCAAGGGCAGGGCCCTCGACTGCCTCATCTGCCCCCCGCGCTCTTGGAATTCCTCGGCGGGCGTCGAAGCAGTCACGAAAGTACCGCGGCGCCCCGGGCCCGACCTCCTCAGCGCGATCAAACGGCGGGCGCTGGCGCTGCGAGCACTGCGATCAGCGAGGGCAGCGCAGCACACGGCACCGCAACAAAATGTCCAGATCGAGACGGGCCTCAGACGCAAGCAGCGCGACGGCGAGACACGCAAAGAAGCTGGGGGCACCATCAGGAGCTAGGAGCCAGACGAAGGAGGCGAAAATTAGGACATCACGAAAGAAACGCGGCTCTGCAGGCAGGGACGCCGTCGATTTGCCGAGCATACGCACGCCAAGAAGGAAGGAGGCGCTCGAACAGGCGGAGGAGGAGACATGGCAAGAGCCATGACAGGTGGACGGAATTGGGAGGTCTACCACGGAACCTGGGAGTTGCCGGGAGCGAGGCAATTCATTCCAATGTTGGGACGCGCATCGAGGGCCAAGTCAACGCAGCGGGCACAATGCAGAGTCCACAGCTGCCCACCACGACGGTGCACGCGGACCGACTAGATGGGAAGGATGACGGATGCGGCTTGGATGTTTTTCCCCACAACAGATCTGGAGACAACGCGCGTTCTTTGGGGGGGGGGCGCTGCAGCTGGCAGGCGACCGAGCAGAAAGACGCGGCGAGGGGGCCGCGGCAGCAGGCGAAGGTGAGCAATCGCAAGTGGGCAAAGACTGTTCTGGACGCCAGCACGAAGGAGGCGCGTCAGTATCTCGCGCGACCAGTGTCCTTATCATTGCCTGAGCTGCGCCGGGATCACGCTGGGCACGCAGCCCCGCCAGCCCCTCGGCACGCGGCGGAAGCACGGGCGCGGCAGCCGCTGGCGCGCTGGACCAAGCCCGAAGAGTCGGAGGAGTTTTAAATGGCGATCTCGCCAGACCACGCCCACGAGCGCAGCGGGGGCTTGTGGACAGCGCGCCCACCGCCTTGGAACAGCCCGACGGCGCCGCGAGGAACGCCCCGAACGCGCCGGGGGCAAGGGTCAGATTCGCGGGGGGCACAGCATCTTCAAGCCTTGGCGCCAGGAGCCAGACAGGAAAACGCGGGCTTGTTCAACCAATCGGAGCAAGCACTTGCGCGAACACATCAACGGTTGCACGCGCGGCATGAGCTGCTGCGAAAGGGCGACAACGCCACGGCAGTCGGCGAGAGGCTTGTCGGACTGATGCCATCACCGGCTCGGTTGCGGGGGCGCACGCGGCTAGGAAAGACGACGACACGTTGGAGCCACGCCAGAGCGGCTTTTTGGTGACGCCGCGGCGGCCAAGCCGTCGGCCGCGAAGGCGGGCGGCGCGGCGATGGGCGAGAGCGGCGCAAGAGACGGCGCCCCACCATGGGGCCCCATACATTTGGACAAGAAGAAGTTCCACGACTCCATCAGCCTGAAGCCGCCATTGGTCTCGCGCGCTCGCGATCTCGATTCTCCAGCGGTAGAATTGCATTTCACTTGCGCGATGCACCGGGCACCGAGGGCGGCGCGAGCTGCGGGGGGCCATGCTCCCGCCATCACGCCAACGCACAGCGCGGCGTCATGGGGCAACAACGCGAACATTGCTGCAAGAGGTTTTCTTTGAAACGGGGCTTGAGAGGGCTCGCAGTTGAATTCCCGATGCCCCACCACGCCGGCGCGGCGCCGATGCAGCCGCAAGGCCGGAGGGCAGCTACACCGATGTAAAAAGATCGATTTGGTCAATGCGACGGTAGAGATCGCGCGCAGCTGCGTGGAGAGCCACGCGAGGACGTCGACCAAGTCGACGGCCATGGCACCACGCCCGAGCATCGAGGCGGGCGGCGACAAAGGCCCTGAAGCAGCCTGGGTCAATATCGAGGCGGCCACCTTCACAGAGGCCGCGGGCACTGCCATGGCCAAAAGGCGGCGCGGGCGAAGGACCACGGCCACCGTGCGGAGGGCAGCTTCACGGGAAAGAGTGATCAGAGCCAGAGTTCTCAAAATGAGCAGGTTGGCGCAGACGGAAGTTGAGGCAGTTCGATGTCACCAACGCCAGGGCCAAGTCCAATGGCGATGCTCCAGGGGTGGACTGCCACCACCTGGCGTCAGACGAGCCAGAGCGAAGCTGTCGACATGCCTGGATACACCATGGGAGGCCGACTCATTCTGGAGACGTTGCCCCACTTCTCCGAACGGGACCCGACGGCAGCAGGACTCTCCCGACATGTCACAGGATGGATCCAGCTGTACAAGGCGCATCCCAGGTACCGCGGCAAGCTCCGAGCTGGTTCACATGCAACAGCACCAGCACGGTCCATAGGACGATGGAATATGGTCACGGATCCCATGGCAGCGTTGGCTCAAAGATTGTCGGAGCTGAATCGGCAATTTCACAGACCAGATGTTCGGACCGATTCCAGAGGCATTACGTGGCGCATGCAAAGCTCTGCGATACCAGGCTCATGAGTCGTCATTAGTTTGCCCTGTCGGAGTGCAGGTTGCTTTCCAAATCCTTGAGATCCAGGTTCAGGCGTCGCCGTTGTTGCGCCCGATCAGAGCGCAGGTTGCCTTCCAAATTCTGGGGTCCAGGTTAAGAGGTTCCCCATGCGCCGTTGGGGGCAAGGGCTGGTACAACCACAGGGAACGGGCCAGGTCAGAACGCGGGCAAAGCACAGCAACATGGGCACCTCGATTTCGAGGACAACGACGTGAACCCCATGGAGATGCTAGATGCCAACCTCGACGACGACGCCTTCTCATGGACTTCGGATTCACCGTCGATTCTGCGGCCCTGGCCCATCCCTGAGAGTGCTGAGACGGCGTCGCAGATGAGACCCGTTCCCAGGCAGGCACCCCCCAGGAGCGAGGGGCCTTGCGGCGCCGAATCGTCGAGGATTGATGGGCCGAGCACTTTGCCTTCGACGGGCCGTCAGGAGGTCGAGGGCAACCCTCGGCGATTGCCTCACACGCACACGCTGCAAGCAGCGCACGACAAACTTCATCCCGAGGATGGGACTGGCAGCACAGAACGCCGCATTTGATGGCGATATTGTCGGGCATCGCGATGATCAGGCCTACGGGCGCAGGCGCGAGGACCCCCCATGCCCAGCGTCGAGATGCGGCGGCCAGAGGCCACGCCTGCGCGCGAAGAGCTTCGGGATCAAGAACACCTTGAATCAAGCGCTGAAGACGATGGTCAAGTGGGCCGCAAAGCACGTGATGAGGGCGAAGACAACCCCAGTGACACGTCGGCAGCGATTGCGGCCGACGTCTTGCAGAGGGCGGCAGCAAGCCGGGAAGGGCCACGTCACGGGGAGAGTGGACTTCGAGACCAGACCCAACATCGGTTGTCAAAACGGCGCGGAGAAGAGCAGATCGAGAAGCTGGAGCACTGGAGGCGGCGGCGTGCAATACCATGCGGATCCAAGAAAGGTGCAAATCATCCGGGCATCACTGCGCTGGGTTTTGCAAGAGATGCACCACGGGCCAGCCTGAGACCACGGGCCACAGGTTCTGGGAAGTGCAAGCACGCGCCGGGCATCGACCACCCGCGGGCTCGGCAGTGCGAGAAGCGGCGGGCTGAAGCTGCACGAGGCATCGCCAACGGGCTGCTCCCGAAGTACGCGCAACGAAATGCCACCGCCCCCGCCTTGGGGCGACCAGCAGTGGCCGCGCCACCTGGACTGAAACTGCCCCGCCATGCTGCCCGACCGCACCGCCCCGCACCACCAGCGCATAAGCAGAGAGCTGGCCTTCCTGGACGGCTCGGCGTCGCGCGCGGACGCGCGGATAGCGCTTGCACGCTGGGGGGGTGGGTGCCTTTTGCCAGGTCTGTGCAGCTGGTCGAGGAAAATGATCCTGGAGCTCTCCGTCCTGGCGCGCGTGGTGGAATCGACGGGGCGCAAACGATTTCGCGCGCTGAGCTTGCGGCCCTCTGGTGGGCCCTCAAATTCCCAGGGCCCGATCTGGGTGCATACGGACATCCAAGCTGCGTTTGATGGTTGGCGCGAAATCTCCGAGACTGGTTCTGGACATTTGGTGGGCCAGCGGGCTCGAATTAGGAGCGAGGCGACAGGCAGGCGAGTAATAGTGAGCAAATGCAACTCCCATCTGGACTGCTCGTCTTTGTTGGCTGGCAGACATGCCCTGCACGTCTCGAGAGACAACGATCTGGCCGACAAATCCACCCAGAAAGGAGCGGAGCGAATGTTTGGCCCCATGGGACTATAATATCGACCCCTAGCTGAAGCGGAGTTCAAGGCATGGCTTGTCCAGCGTCAGTTAGCCATCGTCAAATCGCCAGTTGCCCAGGAAGAGCGAGACAAGCACAGCTCTCCGTGTAAGGAGCCGTGTGACAATCAGCCATGGCGTGAATGAAAGTTACCCGAGTAATACGCAGGGCACTGTTTAAGCTCAGAAGGAGGGTCCTGGGTCCGTTTACGCTGCCAAGACGGGCTAGAAAAAATGTCGGTTTGGGATTCATTGTTTGCGCCAGGGAAGTTTCGCGGGGCTCACTTCCATCGAGCCGAGTCCTAGACGAAACTTGTTCCATCCCCCCAGTCTGAAGTCCAGCGGAAGGAAGCGCACGTGTTTCATAATCCTGCGGTTATGTTTGGTCCGGGTTCTGTTGGAGGAGACAAACTCGGGGTTGGCCTTGTAATGGAATGTAGACAGCACCCCACCCCAGCTGGCCAAGAAGCCCTGACCAAAATTCAGGCGGGAGGCCCTGTCTAGAAACAAGAAGCGGGCCCCGCCTGTGAACCGAGGCTCACGGGGCGTGCACCGACCGGCCCAAGGGGCTAGATCCGGTGTTGTCGCTCATGCGCATGGCACCTGAATACGTAAATTGGTGTGTTAGTCGTCTCCCGAATCGTCTCCTCCTCCTCTTCCTTCTCCTCATCCTCCTCCTGAGCCTGAGCTCAGTATTTAGTGCTGTGCACTCTCCCCGAATGGGCATTCGAATTGAATCGAATCCTCCTCCTCGGATAGAGAGGGCGAGAGAGAGAGAGATGGAGGGAGAGGACAGGCGAGAGAGTGCGAGAGCCCCGCTCCGTGCGCCGCCCGCCCTTCGGCGGGGCACCGCTGCCGACGGGCGGGGGCGCACCGAGGGGCGGCCACTTTTGAGGGCCCTGCTGTGGGTCGGCGTCGGGGGGAGCTGCTGGCCCAGTGGGGTAGGCATCGATCATTGATCGCCCGTTCGTCGCCAATCGGCGCCTGGGCCCCACCCCGCCCAAGAACTTGCGGCGTCGCGGTCGGAGGCCCACCGCTGATATATCGTCGATGTGTCGCCGATTCCAGGCCAACGTTTCCGCCCTGAGCCGGTTGCCCCCGATCGTGTCGCTTTGCCTGCGTTTCCCAGTAGGCGCCAATGAAAAGGGGGAGGGAGGTGGGGATGTGGGATGACGCGGGGGAGGACGGGGAGGATGCGGAGGATGTGGAAGGCAGGGTGGCAGAGGGAACAAGGGAGGGGGGTGGGATGAGCAGGAGGGGTGGAGGCCGAGGATGAAGGAGGTTGAGGAGGAGGAAGAGGGCGAGGATGGAGGGTGAGGACGGAGGGTGAGGGAAGGAGGAGGAGGAGAATGAGGAGGGCCATGAGGAAAGATGCATCGACGAGCAGGGGCAAGATGGGAGCAAGAACGTTGAGAGAGAATGGACGATGAACGAGAGCAAGAACGTTGAGAGAGAGAGAGAGAGAATGAACGTTGAGGGCGAGGACGAGAGCAGGAACGTCGAAGATGATTGTGAGGGCGAGGACGATGACAAGGGCGAGGATGCGGAGGAGGAGGAGGAGGAGGAAGAGGAGGAGGACGAGGAGGAGGAGGAGGAGGAGGAGGAGGAAGAGGAGGAGGAGGAGGAGGAGGGGGGGGGACAGGCGCAGGGAGTTGGAGGAGGAGGAGGAGGAGGAGGAGCAGCAGCAGGAGGAGCAGGAGGAGGAGGACGAGGAGCAGGAGCTGGGCGGTGAGGGGGGGGGGGGGGAGCGCGTGGGCGCGGGGGGAGGGCGAGGGCCTTGCGCCCACTGGCAGCGGCTCTCGCGCGCAGTCCTGGCACCCTCGGGGAGCCCTGGGGGCGAGCGGTGCGGGGGGGGGGCGTGCCGAAGACCCGCCCTGCAGTTGGTCCCTCCGGCCTCTGGGCGGCCTGTCTCATCGTGCACAAGCAGTGCTGCGCGAATCGGGCATCGCCCAGTGGCGATGGCATCATCATCATCATCATCATCATCATCATCATCACCATCAGCAGCAGCAGCAGCAGCAGTATCATCAGCAGCATCACCATTAACATCACCAGCACCACCATCATCGTCAACAATATCGCCACCATCAACAGCATCAGCATAACCATCACGAGCATCATCGTCATCGTTACAATCAGCATCATCATCAGCAGCAGCATCATCATCAGCATCATCAGCATCAGCATCAGCATCAGCATCATCATCATCCCCCTATCCCCTGACAACCATTATCGAGATTAGACTACAGTTCGTGAAAGTTGATCACTTGATCTCTGTCTGTCTTTGCCCTGTTTCCTCCCTCCATCCCCCTCCTTCTCTTCCTCCTCCTCCTCCTCCTCCTCCGCCGCCCCCTCTGCCGCGCTTGCCTGGCAGCTTTACCCGGCTGCGGTCCTACATCGCATACATCTTTCAAGCAGTGCAGAATTCGCGCAGTGGAGTGCACGGTAAATATCATATCTCTCGTTTCTCTCCCACGACGTCCTTCCCTCGGATCTCCCTCGGATCCCTCCTGCGACGTCCCCCCTCCTCGTTTTCTTTCCTCCGTCCTCTTGTCCGTATCCCCCCTCTCCTCCTCGTCCTCCTCCTGCTCCTCCTCCTCCTCCTGCTCCTCCTCCTTCTCTTCCTCTTCCTCCTCGTCATCATCAGCATCATTAGCATTATCATCATCATCATCATCATCATCATCATCATCATCATCATCATCGTCATCGTCATCGTCATCGTCATCGTCTTCATCACCATCATCGTCGCCGTCGTCATCATCATATTTGTCTTCCCCCTCATCATAATCATTATCATCAGCAGCATCATCATTATCATCATCACCGTCGTCGCTATCATCTTCACCATCATATCAGCCACATGATCGGCATCAGCACCATCATCAGTATCAGCATCTCGCGTCATCATCATGCCTACCATATTCGTCCTGTCCGTTGCCATTGTTGCTCGCGTCTGCCATGGCGGTACGCAGGGGGGGGGCGTTCGTGTAGCCACCCTCGTCCGGGTCGCCCTTGTGCCTCTGCTGCAGCGGGCGATGGTGTGTGCCAAGTGCGAGAAGAAATTGTCGGTGATTGCAAACCCAGACGTGTGGCGAGAAGGGGGGCGCAATAACACGTCGAGATCATCGGCCACTGGCGGTCGGAAGATTGGCGAGAACATGTTGCTGAAGCACAAATTCAAGGACAAGGCCAACCCGTATCAGAGCAAGTGCAAGGTCTGCAAGACGACATTGCACCAGAAGGTCTCCCTCTTCATGTACCCTTCTCCCGTCTCCTCCCTTCCTCGTCGCCTCTTCGTCCCCCCTTTTCCTTCATCCCACTTCCCTCCTCCTTCTCCAGGAGTCGCCCTGAATCAGGTTGCTCCGGAGATTTCCAGATGTCCCCGGGAGACGCTGGGAGGTCCCCTGGGGCCTCCGAAGCCCTCAGAGTTTTTCTGGAGGCGAACAGATATCGTAACATGTTGTTCCCTTCCTCAGAGGTCCGATGTCTTGTGCTTTCCTTACGAGACTTCCCAGAAGTCCCGACCACTTTCCGAGGACTAGCTTTTCATCCTGAGCCGTTTTTGACGATCCTGCGGCCTCTGCCTCCGCCTCCTCCTTCTCCTCCTCCTCCTCCTCCTCATCCTCATCCTCATCCTCCTCCTCCTTCTCCTCCTCCTCCTCCTCCTCCTCCTCCTCCTCCTCCTCCTCCTCCTCCCCCGCCTCCCCCTGCACCGATCGAGGGCGTGTACTGCTCGGCGTGCGCCTACCGTGGCGGCTTCTGCGCGATGTGCGGGAAGGAGATGGTGGACGTGTCCATCGCCCGTGGTCGGCCCCCCCAGCCCCTTGAGGGGGGCCCAGCCGGGGGCCCAGCCGGGGGCCCAGCTTGGGTTTTTCTGCCGAGGGGCCCAGCCGGGGGCCCAGCTGGGGTTCAGCCGAGCTGAGCCCCCTCCAGGGGCCCAAGTCGATCCCAGACGTGCTCGCGTCGTGAGAGGAGAACTGAAGAGGAACAACAACAACAACAACAACAACAACAACAACAACAACAACAACAACAACAACGGAAAGGCGTGCACTGCGGCCCCGGTCAGGGCCGGAGCCTCCGGTGTCATTCCGCCGGTGGACGGGCGCACATTCCGGCCCCGTGGGTCTGTTGGCCTGAGACGCTGTGTGACGACGACTTCTCCGGCCCTGCGAGAGGCCATCTGCGGCGGTTTCGCGCCGCGGTGGGCAAACGTACATTCCGGCCCAGTATGCCCCGTCATTTGTGCTGTTCCATCCACAGAAAAGCTCCCCGTGCGCTACCCTTTTCTCCGGCCCCGTGTGCAGTTAAGAACCCTCAAGGACCTTCACGACGACGACGACGATGGCGGCGACGACGACGGCGACGACGACGACGACAACAATGGTGATCCTGAGGAGTCCTCGGGAGCCATGAGAAGTCCTGAGGTGTCCTTATGAATCCTTGGGGGCCCTGAAGAATTCTAAGATATCCCAAGGAACCCTGAGCAGGCCCGCAAGATCCTGCGCAACCCTGGCGAGATCCTGAATAATGCTTGGTGAATCCAAAGGATTTCTGTGAGGTCCTGATGAATCTTGGGGGCTCGGGAGGAATCCTGATGGATCCTGACGACTCTTGAGGATTCCTGACGAGTCCAGAGGAAGCCTAGGGGATCCTGAGGAATCCTTGTGTGTCCCGAGGAGTCCTGTGCAATTCTGAAGAATGCTAAGGGGTCATGAGAAATCCTGAAGGGTTGAGGGGTGCCCTGCGGGGATCCTGAGGAATCCTGCTGGATCGTAAGGAGCCTTCAGGCATCCTGGATAACCTTTGAGGAGGATCCTGAGGCATCGTGATGGATCTTCAGGAGGAAGCCATCGGACTCTTTGGAGGGGGGGGTCCTGGTGAACCCTGAGGAGTCACTGGGGGGCCTGAGGAGGGCTGACGTGTCCTGAGGAAGCAAACGGGGTCCTGAAGAATTCGAAGGTATCCTGAATCCTGAGAACCCCATGGGGAGATCCAGAACAATCCTTGGGGGTCCCACGGGTTCCTGTGGGATCCTGGGGAATTCTGGGGACTCGGAAGGAATCCTGAGGAATCTTGAAGGGTCCAGAGGAAACCTTGCGAATCCTGAGGAGTCCTGATGAGAGCCCAGAGGAAGCCGAGGGGATCCTGAGGAATCCATGTGGGTCGTGAGGAATCCTTGGGAATCCAGAAGAATGCTAAGGAATCCTGAGGGGCACCCTGAGGGGATCCTGAGGCATCCTTAGGGCTCCTTCGGGGTCTTCAGGCATCCTGACGAATCTTGGGGGATCTTAAGGAATCTTCGTGGATCCTGAGGAGGAATCCATTGGATTTTTGTTTGAGGAGGGGGGGTCCTGGGGAATCCTGAGGAGTCCTCGGGAATCCTGAGGAGTCCTGAGGTGTCCTGAGGAGTCCTGAGGTGTCTTGAGGAATCCTGACTAATCGAAAAGGATCCTGATGAGCCCAGAAGAATCCTAGGGGATCAGGAGGAATCCGAGTATGTCCTGAGGATCCTGAAGAGCCCAGCGGAATCCTGAGAAACCCGAAGGAGATCCTGAAAAATCCTTTGGGGTCCCAAGAGTTCCTGTGGGATCCTGAGGAACCCTGGGGCCTCGGGAGGAATCCTGAGGGATCCCGAATAATCTGGACGAATCCTGAGGAGTCCTGATGAGTCCAGATGAAGCCTTGGGGATCCGGATGAATCCTGTGGAATCCTGAAGAATGCTAAGGAATCTTGAGGAATCCTGAGGGTACCCAGAGGGGATCCTGAAGAATCATGGGGAAACCTAAGGAAGCCTTCAGCATCCTGAAGAATCTTGGGGGGATCGTGAAGAATCGTTGTGGATCCTGAGGAAGAATCCACCGGATTCATTTGGAGGGGGAGGGTCTTGGGGAGTCATGAGGAATCCTGGGGAGTCCTGGGGAGTCCTGAGGTGTCCTGAGGAATCCTTGGGGACCCTATAGAATTCAAGGATATCCTGACGAATCCTCAGGGGCCCAACGGAATCCTGAGAACCCCATGGGGAAATCCAGAAAAATTTGTGGGGATCCCCCGGATTCCTGCGGGATCTTGAGAAATCCTTGGGATTCGGGAGGAGTCCTGAGGAATCTTGAAGGGTCCACAGGAATCCTGACGAATCCGAAGGAATCCTGATGAGTCCCGAAGAAGCCTGGGGGATCCTGAGGAATCCATGTGGGTTCTCAGGGATCCTTGGGAATCCTGAAGAATGCTAAGGAATCCTGAGGAATCCTGAGGGGTACCCTGAAGGGATCCTGAGGAACCATTGGGAATCCGAAGGAGTCACTAGGCGTCCTGAGGAGACATGGTGGATCCTGAGGAATCCTGAAGTGTCCTGAGGAATCCTTCGGGATCGACGATATCCTGAAGAATCCTGAGGAGCCCAACGGAATCCTGAGAACCCCATGGGGAGATCCTGAAGAATCACTGGGGATCCTGAGGAATCCTGGGGACTCTGGAAGGAGCCTGAGGAATCCTGGAGGATCCTGAGGAATCCTCGGGCGTCCCGCGGAATGGCTCCCGAGGAATTCCGAGGAATCCTGGAGGGCCCTAAGGAATCCGTGGAGATCCTAGAGAGTCCGGAGGGGTCTTCAGAAATCCAAAGGAATCCTGAGGGATTCGCGGAAATCGTGGGGAAACCTGTGGAAACGCGCCAGGAATGCCGACCCCTTCTCCAGCCCCGTGGGGCACCTTGCGCTGCGCCAGCCCCTTTTCTGGCCCCGTGGGGCCAGGCCTCGGTTGCTGGAGTTTCGTTTACCCTTAAGGATAATCACTTGAGCTTTGAGAGAAGAAGATCTCAACAACGAGCAGGGGCCAGTGACAACGCCTTACCGAACAACAACAACAACAACAACAACAACAACAACAACAACAATCATTTTACCCGAACGCTCAGTGTTCTCACCAGTGCCAGGGTTTTCATACGACGCCCGCCAATACCCCCACTTTGTGGGGGGGCCGATTCAAGCTCTACCACATTTCCAAACGACTCTTCGCCACCACCCACACCCAGCTTCCCGCCCTATGACGTTCGGACACTTCACTTCGTGGCATGCGGACGACCGTGGCTACTACACTGGCGCATGGTTTCAATGCTTATTTGAATGTGTCCCGCATGGTATTATTTGACAGGGATGATGGCCCTGGCAGGTGCGCAACCGTTGTTGCAGAAGTTCGAAAAAGTTGCTCGCAAAAGCCCGTTTGACAGAAATGATTAAAAAGTGTTGGGTTTCCTACGAATCCGCAAGAGCGCGCGGGATGAAATTTTGACATTTTTTTTTGAAAAACCATTGGTTTTTTGATGTTTTTATGTTAAAATCGCTACGAACACTAAGGTTTTGGAAGGATTTCGTCTTGCGCGCGCGAATGTCCACTTTACCTTATTTTTTGCAAGGGATTCTTGAAGTTTGGTTATTTTAGAACAAGAAATTTCATTTTATAGTGTTTTTTGCAAGGGACAGCGGGGGGGAACAAAACAACCGGATCTTGATGACATCGTATTACCTGAGGCTTCCTCACGAAAATGATGAAAATGTAGCTGCGGCCTAGGCGCGGCGGGGGGGCGCGCACCAGGGGCCCCAACAATAATTATTCTTTAGAATTAATAATGTACCCGAACGCTCAGTGTTCTCACCAGTGCCAGGGTTTTCATGCGACGCCAGCCAATACCCCCACTTTGTGGGGGGGCAGTGCAAGCTCTACCAAATATCCACACGACTCTTCGCCACCACCCACACCCAGCTTCCCGCCCTATGACGTTCGGACACTTCACTTCGTGGCCTGCGGACGACCGTGGCTACTACACTGGCGTGGAGTACACACCCACAGAAGTTGTTAAGCCTACGTTCGTACACCCACAGAAGTTGTTAAGCCTTGTTAACCCACAGAAGTTGCCCCAGAAGTTGTTGGCAGGCGCGCGAACCCCGTTGCAAGAGCGTGCGAAAGTAGCTCGCGCGAGCTCATGTAACGTAAATGTTGGAAAACCATTGGTTGTTTTAGGATTCGGACAGCGCGCGCGGGTAGAAATTTTGAAAAGTCGTGCAGGTGTTTTTCGAGGACCTACGGTGCGATTCGTGTGATTTTATGATGCGCGGTGCTAAAATTCTTAAGAAGCCCAATGGTTTTTGGAGATTTCGGCGTGCGCGCGCGAAGAAAAAACGAATGTGTCCCGCATGGTATTATTTGACAGGGATGATGGCCCTGGCAGGTGCGCAACCGTTGTCGCAGAAGTTCGAAAAAGTTGCTCGCAAAAGCCCGTTTGACAGAAATGTTTAAAAAGTGTTGGGTTTCCTACGAATCCGCAAGAGCGCGCGGGATGAGATTTTGACATTTTTTTGTTGAAAAACCATTGGTTTTTTGATGTTTTTATGTTAAAATCGCTCCGAACACTAAGCTTTTGGAAGGATTTCGTCTTGCGCGCGCGAATGTCCACTTTACCTTATTTTTTGCAAGGGATTCTTGAAATTTGATTATATTAGAACAAGAAATGTCATTTTATAGTGTTTTTTGCAAGGGAAAGCGGGGGGGAACAAAACAACCGGATCTTGATCACATCGAATTACCTGAGGCTTCCTCACGAAAATGATGAAAATGTAGCTGCGGCCTAGGCGGCGCAGGGGGGCCGTGCACCAGGGGTCCCAACAATAATTATTCTTTAGAATTAATAATGTTCAACAACAATAACAACAACAACAATAACAACACAACAACAACAACAACAGCAACAGCAACAGCAACACAGCAACACAACAACAATATCAACAACACCACCACCAACAACAACAACAAACAAATTACTAGCACGTGGGGACACACCGTTCTCACCAGTGCCAGGGTTTTCATAGGAGGCGGGCAATACCCCCACTTTGTGGGGGGGCCGGTTCAAGCTCTACCAAATTTCCAAACGACTCTTCGCCACCACCCACACCCAGCTTCCCGCCCTATGACGTTCGGACACTTCACTTCGTGGCATGCGGACGACCGTGGCTACTATTCAGGGCCCCGCGGCCGACGACGACGGCGTGCGCGCGCGAAGAAAAAACGAATGTGTCCCGCATGGTATTATTTGACAGGGATGATGGCCCTGGCAGGTGCGCAACCGTTGTTGCAGAAGTTCGAAAAAGTTGCTCGCAAAAGCCCGTTTGACAGAAATGTTTAAAAAGTGTTGGGTTTCCTACGAATCCGCAAGAGCGCGCGGGATGAAATTTTGACAATTTTTTTTTGAAAAACCATTGGTTTTTTGATGTTTTTATGTTAAAATCGCTACGAAAACTAAGGTTTTGGAAGGATTTCGTCTTGCGCGCGCGAATGTCCACTTT